CCTTCTGTCCTCCCTAGTCATTGTCCAACTCTCTGATGCATAACAAGTGATTGCAAAAACCATGGCCTGTATCAGGCGCACCTTAGTCTCCAGGAAATAATTATGAGAGGCAAAATATTACCAGAGGTAAAACATAAAATTACTTACTCTAAGAGCAAAGGAAATTGCCAGTAAAATAGTCTTCATAAAGCTTTGGATGACTATTACAATGATGATGCCATCACTATTGATTACAGTCTGCTAATATTTCATATAATGATACGTGTTGTGAATGATATAACAAGTTTTCAAGAGAGCGGTATTTGGTGGTGTGTTTTTTTTCTTTTCTATAAAGCATTTTATACTTTCACTTACTATTCTGCATTTGGATAAAAAAAGAAATTCATTCTGAGCCTGTGAGCTTCAGGACTGAATCTCCATGTCTCAACAGAAGGATTTGACTCAAATAAAAAATTTCAAAGAAACTCAACTGAAACAGCCATCTGTCATCTGCATGAAACTCCAGTATACCTTCGGCCACAGAGTAGCACATGAGGAAATCAGCCCCAGCGGGCAGCGTGTACACCGAGGCTGCGTCCACCTCTGTGACGTTGGCGTCTGGCTTAGCTGTCTGATGATCCACAGTATCCAAAGGAATGACCGGCTCATCGTGCTGGTTTCCCCGACATGCCTACACAACAACACAACAAGGAGGGTAACAAGTCGCCTTTACAGACTCTTCCCAGTGCTTACTGCTCGCAGTGAATAAATCAGTAAGCAAATCAACATCAGTAGAAGGCACTTAAAACACAATTAATTTGAGTTTGCTGTCAAATTGTCTGCAACTCGTGGGACCCCCCCACCCAGTCCTGCGGCAATTTCCGGTCACTGGTCTGAGTCTGTTGTGGCCTCTGGGTACTGTGGGTGCCTTCCAACCCAGCACTGTATCAGACAGTATTCTGTCCAGTGAAAGCCACAGCCTCATTCTTGGAAGCAGACTGCCAGGCTTTTATTCCTAGTAATAGTCTTGACACATCACCAAAATCTATGCAGCATAGTGGTGAATACTTGCTGGTACTTGAAATACTAATGACATAGCTTTCAACAGCATCGTAACACACAAGCCACCATCCTATGAAAAACTCACAGAAGGTGATGGACATTCAAGCTTAGAGAGGACGGAAGATGACTGCAGGGTGGATCAGAGGTTGAATTCTCACCCTTCATGCAGGAGGTCAGGGCTGGAGTCCCAGCCAGTGCACTGCACACAGAGCCATCCGTCAGTGAAGGCCTGGGCGCTGTTATGATGCTAGCGAGGTTGCAGCAAAGCTTCCAGAGTCAGACAAGGAGTAAAGGCTTGGTAATTTACTCCTGAAAACCCTATGAATCACAAGTCTGACCTCCAGATAGTCAAAGGGACAGTACAGGGTTGGATAGAGTTGATTCCACTGTCCATGTTAGCCGTTAACACTGAAAATGCTGACAAAATTGCTTTCCTCGTTATTACCGAGTCAGCACCAACTAACAGCTGACTTTTCATTAGAGGCAATAAATTGCACACAAAGAGACTGTCCCATCCTTCTCCCAAGGAGCTGCTGGTGGATTTGAACTTCATGCCTTCTCGTTGGCAGTGCAGTTCCTAATCACTTAGCCACCAGAGCTCCTTAGATTTTTGTTCGTCTCTTTTTTTTAAAAAAAAAATAAGGCATCTCAACTACATGCCAATGGCTGAGGTGTAGAAAAGAGTGGTTTTAAAATGTTATGAATTAGACACACCCAGAGCACAAAGAATTGCCTTCTCTTTTGAAAGCTACCCTATTTACCTAAGAGTTTCTATTTAATCCTGTAATATATTTCATTGTTTGCTTGAATGATGTCATAAGTTGTTAGGGGTCAAATGTTACTGCCTGACCTGAGAAGACATCTATTCATGTGTCTTCCTCCTTCTGTCCCTACTTTAACATGAAGTCTCAAATTCCTACTGATTAATACTGATTAATACAGAGGCTGACTCTCAAGTGACCTACCAAGCTTCCTTGTAGCATGTTAAAGGTATTGATCAATTCCAAAAAAGTGTAAAGTTTTTTCAAAGAAATGAATTCCTGAGTGATCTGAAAATTATCAAATACATAAGATACCAAATACTTCATTTTACAGAAGTTTTGAATCTTATTATCAGATCTTATTCTTCTAAATCCCTTGTAACTTGAAGAAATCACCTGTTAAATCACTTGTTGTAAGAGCTAGTCTTTATTGAGGTATACAATATGACCTCATTGTTTTCTGTGCTTATCTCTTTTTGCTTCTCCTTCTTTATATCAAATCATTATAGTCTGACAGAAACCCATGGCATAGGTGCTAGTATTACCTCCATTTCACAGATAAAGACTGCTGCTGATGTTAGCTACTGTTGAGTCAAATATGACCCATAGTGCTCTCTTAACAACAGCTCTGAATGCTGTCTTGTCCTGTGCCATCCTCACACTTCCTGACACACTAGAACCCACTGTAGCAGGCGCTATGTCAATCCACCTGGTTGAGGGTCTTTCTCTCCTTCACCAACCCTCTGCCTTTCTGAACATCATGTCCCTCTCCAAGGGAATAGCTCCTCTTAGCAACATGCCCGAAGAATGTGAGAAGCAGCTTTATCACCTCTGCCGCCAAGAAAAACTCTGGCCACACTTTCTCCTCAACGTATTTCTTCTTCTGGACGTCCAAGTGATGCTCAGTACTCTCCTCTAACACCACAGCTCAAAAGTGTCAACTCTTCTTCTCTCATTCTTACTCACTGTCTAACTCTCAGATACACAGCAAGTGGTCAGAAAGGCCATGGCCTGAGTCAGATGCACTTTATTCCTCAAACTGATGTCACTGCTCTTCAATAATTTGGAGAGGTCTTTGACTGCAGACTTCCCCAGTGCAATATGTCTTCTGATTTCCTCACTGCTGGTACCAACGATGTTGTGAATCCAAGTAAGACAAGTAAGATAAGGTTGCTACAGTTTCAGTCTTCTCTCCATCTATCATGATGTTGCCTAAAGTACAGTGGTAAGAATCTTTGTTTTCTTGATGATGAGATGCAATTCATAGTAGTCTCTTTAATTTTTATTTTATATTGATTTGCGTACAAAGTTCACATATACTGTGAATCATACTATCCTTCATTCATATTGTTTCAGTCAGTCATTCCCATTCATTACGTTTTATCATTGAATTATGACCACCTCTTTCCAGATTCCTGCTGGATATTTCCCATTTCCTTTACCTACCCCACCCTCCACCCATCAAATTGTGTGACCCTATGATTATCTCCCCCCCATCTATACCCCTCTGCTCCCACTCTCCCCCTCTTGGATCCTCATATATGTTTTACTAGTTCTTTTTCTACTTATACAATAATAATATTAGCAGATTTATCCTTATGAGACTGAGATGACTCAGCATAATGCTCTCCAGCCCCTCCCAAGAAATGAGGTAATTTTTTAAATCACGGTTTCTGAATGCTGCAGAGTATTCCATTGTGTGAATGTACCACAATTTCTCAATCCACTCAGTTGTGGTTGGACATTTGGGCTGTTTCCATGTTCTTGTGATGGTGAATAACACTCCTATAAGCATTGGTGTACAAATCTCCATTTGTGTCTCAGTTCTAATTTTCTTGGGGTATTCCAGAGTGGCTGTACCATTTTACAATCTCACCAATGGTGTATAAGAGTTCCTATCTCTCCATAAACTCACCAACATTTATTACTTGCTGTCATATAAAATTTTGCCACTGCTCCTGGGGTGAGATGGCTGAAGGCTGTATTCTTTGATCTTCTGCAACAAGTGCTTCAAGTCCTCCCAACTTTCAGAAAGCAAGTTTGAGTTATTTGCATAACACAGGGAGAAAGTAATTTACCAAAATATTCCCCTCCTTTTTGGCTCTCTTTCCATAGTAGCTCATTATTTCCAATTACTATGTTTGGGTGCTGGCCATTCCTTTTCATGGAGTAATTACTCTTTTCTGATTTTTTCTCCCCTACTTCTCTGAGCCATCCTCTTCAGTACCTCTCCTCTGCTCATGCCTCATTGGTTTATACTTTTTCAGGTATTCTCCCATCTCCTGATGACTCAGATTTATTTCCTCGGCCCAAGCTGCCTGTCTCAGTTTCTAGACTTGTAGCTCCATGCACATGCCTCACAGACACGAGTATAATTGTCCTAGACAGAAGGAACTGGTCTTAACTCCTCTTTGTACAGTTTCTTCCCTCTTGTGCTTGTAGCGGGATGTCAAATGTGGCACTATACAATTTCCTGTCCTCCCATAACAGATGGCACAACTTTGTGCAAATACAAGATTGCAATACTGGTAAAAGGAATTTATTCTTTTCTTGTCCAGAATCTTTACTGATAGGCCAAGTGATATATTCAAGCAAAAATCAAATAGACAAAACCAGTTCCTAATATCAGTTTTAACAACAAGGAAAACATCTTGGTTTAAGAGAAAATGTGAAAGGGATGAGGCAACATGAGAGTGAGGGCTCCTCATGCTGGCACCCTTCCACGGCTTCATTTGCTCCCCAGCTTCCAAGAAACCAACCTCAGTCTGAACAGGCTACACTGTGTGGCTCTCTCCAATCAGCAGAGGCCTTCAACATTGGCTCTGCTCAGGGTGGGCCGGTCAACAACACACTGGTTATTGTGAGTCACTTCAAATGTCACTCCATACACTGGCTTATGATAAAGGTACTGAGTGTATGAAGGGAGCTCTGGTGGCCTGGTGAATGAATAGGGAGTTGCACTGCCAACCTAAAGGTAGGTCGCTGAATTCACCAGCTGCTCCACAGAAAACAGATAGACAATCTCCTCTAGTGTGATTTACAGCCACTGAAAACATGCTGTAGGGTCAGTCACTTTTGACTCTCTGACAGTTAAGTTCAATTTTGTGGTGCAGGTTGGTTTTGTTTTGGTTTTTTTTTTTAGAGTGTTAAGAAGGAACTGCTAAAAGTACAATTAATAAATGTTGGAGAGGATGTGGAGAGATAGGAACCTTTATATACACTGCTGGTGGGATTGTAAAATGGTACAACCACTCTGGAAGACAGTTTGGCATTTCTTAAAAAAGCTGAACACAGAAATTCCTATGACCCAGCTATGCTTGGAATATACCCCAAGAAAATGAGAACTGAGGCACAGAGACTTGTACACCAATGTTCATAGCAGCATTATTCACCATCACAAGAACACGGAAAAAGCCCAGATGTCCAACCACAACTGAATTGATTGAGAAATTATAATACATTCACACAGTGGAATATTACACAGCATGCAGCAGCAATGATTTTGTAAATTACTACCTAACTTGGGAGGGACTGGGGAGCATTATGCTGAGTGAACTAACTCAGTCCAATAAGGACAAATACTGTATAAAACCATTATTGTAGAATGAGTATGAAGATCCAAGGTGGGGAAGGGTGGAAACACAGGGGTGTTGTTGGTGATGGGGGGTTGTTAATCATAGGGTTGCACAATTTGATAGGCGGAGCAGTGAGGGAAATGGGAAAAACAATGTATTTGAATTTTGTAAATAAACCAGTATAATAAAAAATAGTGAACTAGGGGAGGGGGAGGGAAGGGGTAAAATGAGTGACAATGAGTGAATGAAAATCTAACTTTTCAGTAAATGTTTGTTAAAATCACAATTAAAATAAAATTTCATTTAAAAAGAATTTTAAAAGGCTCTTCTTAATTACTGGATAAAGGTACTTTCATAAATAAGTTAACTAGTCTTACCTGAATGATAAATATTTTGGGTTTTCCAACCAGGCTCTGACATTTGTCTCCTTTGAACAAACCAGTCAATGTCTGAATTTCAATTTTGGCGTCGTACGCATAAATGTGATTTCCTTCACCATGACTCAGGAAGACACACAGGAAGCAGTCGGCATCTTTATGACTAGAGGTTGATACTGTAAAGCCCCAAAAAGTTCATACAGAAAAGAAAGAAAATGTTTATGACATTCATACCTAAAAGTGCAATTTATTAAAATGAGACTAAAATACAGATATTAATGGGAGTGGGAAATTGTGTTTTCCTTTTAAAAGCATGAAATATCTATAATGAAACATAATTTACTCTAATTTTTAATCAGAGAGAATAATTTGTATATGTTGTATCTAATTTTTAAAAATCCAATTATTAAAATACAAAGCAAAATCATTTGGAACAAATTTCATAAGTTTTTCTAAATCACATAGTAAACCAGTGCCAACTGCCGCAGAGTTGACTTTAACCCTGAAGACCTGTGTCAGGATTGAACCATGCACCACAGACCTTTTCTATGACTGATGTTTTTCAGTAGCAGATTGCCAAAGCCTTATCTTCCAAGGCACTCTTGTGAGGCCTTGAACATTAATCTTTCAGATAGAAGCCATGTATGTTAACTGTTTATTCCTGCAGAGTACTGACGTGTAAAAGAAAGGGATTACTGGGAACGCTTTCAAGATCCAAATTTCTTTGGTAATAAAGGAAAAGTTTCTCTGAATTAGCATTGAGTTTCTTAGAGCAGAGACTGAAAGACCCATAAACTAGGACCCAACACAGCTCCCTGTGTGATGCCGTGCCTCCAATGGATGCTGCACCTTCACTACATCAATAGCAGTTAAAACTTCCACGAGTTTCTAAAGCACAAGACGGATGTAATTCAAAGCTATGTGCAAAGTACAAAAAATTCTGGAATGTAGTCAAGCAAACTGAAAATGATTTTCAGATTAGAGTTCTGAAGAAAGTATAAAATAATTATACAAACACCATAACACTCAACTGATTTTAAAAGCCATGGTATATGTAATGATTAGTAAGACAAATCTGAAGTTGCATTATAATTAGAATAGCTCCTACAAAGCAATGTTTTGAAAATTAGGAGAAGTAATCCATGCAAATAAACAAATAGTATTTTGACCCAGGAAGGGAGAATGTTAAAAAATAAGATTAGTTTACTCGTGCTTTAGCATCTATAGTATGTGTTTTAGACATTTAATGCTAAAGTGAGAAACAGACATTTCATAAATTTCTGGAACACCACATTGTATGGTAGGCTAAATGTAAATTTTGGGAGCATAAAAGATCTCTAAATCTGGTGGCTAGCAGAGAGCAAAGCCAAGGCCTATGTTGTGGCTGCGTACCGTGGCGCTGGAACCAATTCACAGCCGACTCTCCAGTGGGTCTGCAGAGGCAATAAATTGCACAGGAGGAGACTGCCCATTCTTCTCCCGCAAAACAGCTGGTGAATTAAAACCGCACGCCTTTAGGTTGTCAGCGCAGCTCCTTACCACTAAGCCACCAGAGCTTCCCAAGACCTATAGTTCATGCTATTTAACAGGCAGGCTCTGGTGGCCTAGTGGGTAAGGAGTTGTGCTGCTAACCCAAAGGCATACAATTCAAATCCATTAGCTGCTTCTAGAGAGGACGATGAACAGTCTCCTGTATGACTTACAGCCTCTGAAAACCCACTGGAAGGTTAGCTATGAGTCGGTTTTGACTCAATGGCACACAACAACAACATTTAACTGACATGGCTCTTTTAAAACATACAGTTAATTATTTGTACTGGTCTTTATAGATAGGACAACTGAAATAGTCATTCTCATCAGAGGAAGATAAACTGAACAGGAAAAAAGCAACATACCATCATGAATTTGGAGCAGTACTTCTTCTGCTTTAAGATCATTAAAGCACTTCACTTCAAATCCTAGATCTGAAAGCCTGGTGATATAAGGATTGGAACATTAATTTAGGGGCTCTTTAAAGTTTCCAAATACCTTGAACTTCACTTTTGTAAAGCAAAACACACCTTTATGACATATATATATTTATTTTAGGGGAGTGAAACAAAATATGAGGATTGCCTTAAATCACCTATGGTAGATAAAAGATTTAATGAAAATAAGCCACTTTTGTTTAGAATGTATTCTACTGTACAACAAGGGGGCTCTGGTGGGCTAGCGGTAAGGAGTTGCACTGCCAACCCAAAGGCACATGCATTTCGAATCCACCAGCAGCTCCCCAGGCGAAAGATGGGAACCTCCCATGCGATTTACAGTCTCTGAAAACCCACTGGAGGGTCAGCTATGAGTTGGTTTTCAATTGATGGTACATAACAACAACTTCACTGCATAACAGTATAAAGATTAACGTGCGTCTGATCCAAGCTAGGGTATTTCATTTACTTCCTCTTTATCAGAAAGTTGGACAGCGAATAAGGATGACATAAGAATAATCAATGTTTCTGAAGTGAATGGTGTTGATGAAAAGTACCGAATATGTAATAGACTATCTCAAGAACAAACATGTCTCTCTTGGAGGAAGTACAGCCAGGATGCTCCTTAAGAGGCAAGGAATAGTGAAATTTCACCTGATATACTTTGGGCAAGTTGTCAGAGGAGGGGCCAGTCCTTGGAAAGAAAGACAAACTGAGAAGAAGACCTTCAACAAGAGGGACGATGGGCACAGTAACAGCAATGATGGACTCAAGCATTTGAGAGATCCTGAGGCTGGTGCAAGACAGAACAAGGTTCAGATCTGTTTTTCAGAGGGTCACTATGACTTGTAGTCAACTTGACAACTGTACGATATGTAACAACAGTAAAAACACCAAACGGTACAATGATTGTTAATCATGTCAACAGGAAGGTGAGAGAAGAGTGAACTCAGGTAAACCTTGAGGGAAGGCCTCCTCCCTTATCTCATCAACACTGACAAGTTCTGATAAGTAATCCTGTTATCAGCTTCAAGTCTCATCTCCTTAAGGCAGTCAAAATTACCTGCGTTTGAGATTGTCTCTGTCTGCAATGGTGCCACGCCTCTCCGGCAATGTCAGGTGCCAGAAGAATCGCTCATGATTAAAGATTAAAGCGATTCCTCTTTTCCTATGGTCCATTTTGTACTTTTCTGCCGGATCAAATATTTCGCTGTTAAAAGTAAAAGCAATCACATCAGATCATATTAAACAGTAACTTTCTCTAAGCACACATTCCTTCCCTCCTCTGCCAGCTGATGTCCTGCAGAGAACACTGAGAAAGTTATAAAGTAATGCAGGCATGTGTCCCCCCTTCAAAGACTCCCTTTAACTTTGCTTTACCAAAGATTTACATTAGTACATCTTTTTAATAACTGAGAGAAATCGGGAATCTGAAGAGAATTTTCATCTTTTACAGAACAGGTAAAATGCAAAACTGGTGTCCAGCATTTGTTTGTGGAATGAAAATGGTGTTGCCAAGTTCCTTCCCCAGGAACTATACCATACATACATAATTTCTACGTTACTCAGGCTATGCATTTATCACAGCATCCTTTTTACTGTATGGTATTAGCGTTATTTTGGGGTGACTGCAGCAGTGGGCTCAAGTGTGTCAGAGATGATTAGGATGGCACAGGATAGGTCAGAGTTCAGATTTGTTCACAGGATCATTATGAGCTGTATTTGTTTCAACAGAACCTTAACAACAACAGTGTTATTTTGAGCTCAGGTGGCTAGTGCTAAGGAGCTGTGCTGTCAATACAAAGGCCTACAGTTCAAATCCACTAGCTGATCCTCCAAATAAAAAGGGGCAATCTCCTCCCAGGCAATTTACAGATTCTGAAAATCAGTTAGAGGGGTTGGTTTCAACTTGACAGCAAGAACAACAGTGTTAAAAAAAAAACACAAATAGGTGTGATACGTTATTTAGTATGATTTGGTAGGTTCTGGAAATGCTAAAACAAATTTTTCCTTAAAAATTAATGGTAATTAATTGTGTCTGTGTTTTATGCCGTTTTTTTGTTTTGGTTTCTTTTTACAAAGGTTTCATAAAATCACTCCACTTATGGATCGCCGGTGAAACCTGGACTGGTTGGGGAAGTCCAGAAACACTTCTGTACCTGCTGGCAGGCAGCACCTCACCCCTTCCACCTACATCATCTTTCTCACCACCTTACCTCCAAAGTCCATGCCGTATCAATTAGTAAATATTCTAATCATCAATTCAGGTACTTTGACAACCAGGAGCAACAACCAACTTCCTTATCTACCAACCCCAAGAATGATCAAATTTGGCACTTTCAATTTCACTTTCTAGCCTGCAAGTCCCTTTCTAGCTTTGATTACCACAGGCTAGTGGCAAGACGCTGGGCGGCAATCCCAAAGGCACACGTTTCAAATTCACCAGCTGCTCTGCAGGAAAAGGATGGGCAATCTCTGCCCGCTTGAGGGTCAGCTATGGGTCAGTTCAACTCGATGGCACACAATAAGAAGTAATGATTTACTGTTACCATCTAGGTACCTTTACTGGAAAGAGCCTGTTTTGGTTTTTTCATTTTGTTTACCTTCTGTGAAAGGCATCTGTTTCTGTCATGTTTTCTTCCCCACCTATAAAAGAAAAAAGTTGAGTTCATTCATTCATTCATTCACATTCTGATAATTTCTGTTTTGATTAAAGGTCATGGAATTTGAAAAGAGGATGGAAGGGGAAGAGGAAAATGCTTGTTAATATAACAAAAGAACTATAATTTAACAGCTCAATTCTTTCAAACTCCCAGAGCTTACCTCCAAAATAATAAGAGTTTTATGAAGAGAAATGTAGAAAACATTACTCAAACCCATTCACTGCAAAATACGCCTAGATAACAAAGTCCTACAATTACAGAGCATGAATGAAATGTGCCTCAATTGGCAACTAGTCTCTAAAACAGGGATGTCATACAGAATTGAAATACTGCAAAACTAAGTTTGTGGTTACTGCTAAATTGTGTGACACCCTTACGAGGTGACTCCGCCCTTAAGAGCCTCCTCATTGTCTCCTTCCTGGCACTGAGGATGGAAAAGAGAAGTTAGCTCTTTCAGCTATTATTTATGGAATTCCTCAACAGACATTCCCAATATTCCCACTGAGGAAATCCTCTGAGGAACTCCAGTGTTCCTCTGGTCTACGGGCCCTACTTTAACTGTCCTCAGCCTTGGGCATCAGAGTTCCTGCACAAGAGTCAATGCAGATTCCTGGATCCCAACCTACATGCAGTCGGAATCTAGGTGGAGAAGGTCACAATCAGCATGCTGAACAGAAGCTTTGCAGCAACACCAAAGTTTGCCTGACCTGCACGCCCTCCTCATTCTGTTGAGGTCTCCCGCACCACACTTAAAGACGGCCAGATATGACCCTTTCCTCTACTCCACACAGAGCTCAAGAGAGTGCCTATGTGCACTTCATTCCTTTTGTTTCCTCCCTGTTCCCCCTGCCCCGCCACCTCAATGAACATGCACAGTCTGAGATTACTACATGGCCTGAGAGGGACGCCAAGTGACCACATGAGCTGAGAAGGTCAAGATGGCGCAAGGACAGTCAAAGGCAGTTTCTTTTTATAGGGATTTTAGGGAGGACTAGGAAAGATTGGTTTTTACTTGGAATTTGGGTGGGAGTACTGTTAATTAGCTTGCCTGTGGGCTTTTGTGCTCAGGCCCAGAGTCTTATCAGGCTCTACTTTTTATAACTTTACCTCTTAATCTTTAAACCAATTATGTTGTGTGTGTCCTGGATTTAATCCTGAATCCTAGTTACCCTATGTGACAGAGTAGAACAGAGGGTTAGAGTTGCCTACCGCGTAAGCAGGTCTCCTGCCTTTTTTTCCCCTTTCTTATAGAATAGCTGGTTATACTTTTTTTTTTTAAAAAAAAATTGTATTGATTGTATCAAGTTTACAGAAAAGTTGGATTTCCATTCATTCTTTGTAGTACATTTTCCTCCCTATCTATCCCTTACTAGTTTGCTTTTGTTTAAAAAAAAACAACAAAAAAACTTCACTGTTGCATAATTTCCTTCCTCTCCCAACCCCAGCCCACTTTGCTATGCACCCCTTATTCTGGACTGTTTTAATGCAAATAATGCCTAATAATATATTCCTTTTATACAGTTCTTTCCTTCATCCAATGCAGTATTTATTACCTATCCCCTTTTCTTAGTTTCTCCGTAACCCTCATGTCAGTCCTGTTTTATAACAGTGACATTATGCAGTATTTGTCCTTTTGTAACTGAGATATTTGTCACCCAAGTTATATAATATTTTATGAGTTTGTGTTTAGTGCTGCATACTATTCCATTTTGTGAATATACCACAGCTTTACTATCCATTAGTTTATTGTTAGACACTTGCATCAACTAACAAAAGAAAAGAAAGACACAAATAATCCAAATAAGAGATGAAAGGGGCAATGTCATAACAGAGCCAATTAAAATAAAAAGGTTAACAATTGGGAAAATACTCAACTGTAGCATCAGAATTGGATGAAGACTGCAGATGACACAACCCTACTTGCTGAAACTGAGGAGGACCTGAAGTACTTGCTGCAGAAAGTCAAGGACTGCCACCTTCAATATGGATTGAAGCTCAACATCAAGAAAACAAAGATTCTTGCCACTGAGCCGACTGGCAGTATTATGACAGATGGTGAAGAGATTAAGATTGTTAACAGAAAATAAAAGACAACTTGGACTGGGAAAGTCTGCTGTCAGGGTTTCTCCAAAGTGCTGATGAGCAATGATGTCAGCTTGGAGAATAAGGTTTGCCTGATCCAGGCCATCGTCTTTGCAGTTACTTGCTATGCATCAGAAAGCAGGACAATGACTAGGGATGATAGAAGAAAAATTGATACCTTTGAGTTGTGGTGTTAGAAGAGAGTATAGAATATACTATGGAGCTAGGAGAACAAACAGGTTTATCTTGGAGAGGGTGAGACCAGGCTGCTTCTTGGAAGCAAGGATTCTGAAGCTTTATCTGACATACTTTGGGGAGGTTGCAAGGAGGAACCAGTCCTCAGAGAGGGATATCATGCTTGGGAGGGTAGAGGGACAGCATACAAGTGGAAAACCCTCAATGAGATGGATTGACAGGTTATTGGGGGTAGGTGTGTCAGAGACAATAAGATTGGCACAGGATACAGCAGGGTTTAGGGCTGTTGTACACAGGGTCATTATGAGTCACAATTGACTCAAAAGCACATAACAACTACAAAATACTCAAAGAAATATGAAAACCTAGAAGAAATGGATGAATACCTAGAAACTCACAATTTCCCTAAATTGACACAGTCTGAAATAAACATCCATTACAGAAGAAAAAATTGAATGGGTCATAAAACAACTCCCAACAACAACAAAAGCCTTGAACCAGATGGTTTTGCTAGTAAATTTTATCAATAATTCAGAGAACTGTCACCAATTCTACATAAAGTATTTCAGAGAATATGAAAAGATGGAATTCTCAACTGATTTTTGACAAGGAGATGATATCAGCTAAGGGAGGGGGGGAAAAGCCTCTGTAACAATTGTAGTTGGCAAAATTGGAAAACTATCTGCAGAAAACCCAAGCAAGACTCATACCTCACACAATACACAAAAACCAACTCAAAGTGGATCAAGGACCTAGGAGTAAAACCAAACTTTATTAGATTAGAGAAACGCTTGGAAGAACTATAGGAGTCCTAATCCACAATATGAACATCTTGAAAAACCGACAACCAGGACAGAATAAAATAGATGAATGGTACCTTCTAAGAATCAAATCTTTATGTATATCAAAAAACTTCTCCAACAAGGTAAAAAGGGAAGCCACAGACTGGGGGGGTAGGGGTGGGGAATATTCGGTAATAACATGTCTGACAAGGGACTCATATCTAAAATTTATCGAATACTCCAGCACCTCAAAAAGATAAACAACTGAATTGCAAAATGGCCACAGGATATGAACAGACACTTCACCAAAGACGACATTCAGACAGCAAAAAAGCACATGAAGAAATGCTCAAAATCCCTAGCTCTAAGATAGATGCAAATCAACACAACTATGAGATATCATCTTACCCCAGTAAGAATAGCAAAATTCAACAGAGCAGCATACACAAATGAAACCCTATTCACTTTTGGTGGCAGTGTAAAACGGTGCAACCATTACAGAAGGCAGTATGGTGCTGTCTCAAAAAGTTGGAAATAGAAATACCATTTGACCCAGCAATTCTACTACTGGGAGTACACTCTAAAGAAATCAGAGCTAATAACCAAGCTGATAAGTGCACACCCATGTTTATTGATTTGTTCACAAGCAAAGAGATGGAACAGTTGGTTTTCTTACGGAGTAGCTGGACCACTGACCTTTCTTTCAGTTCATAGCCAAGCACTCACCCACTGCATCCCCAAGGCTCCCTACAAACAATTTACCATAAAGAAAATAGACAGCTTTTAGTGGTAAGGAATTGTGCTGCCAGTCCAAAGGCTTGCGGTTCAAATCCACCAGCTATTCCACAGGAGAAAGACGGGCAATCTTTGCTTCTGAAAAGCTGTTGGTGGGCCAGCTATGAGTTGGTTTTGACTTAATGGTACATACATAACAACAATCACAGAGACTGAGAGTAACCTCAAGCCAAACATTAAATTGATGTCTGAAAGCCCCTCACCTGCACAGCCAGGAGAGCACTGAGCCTGCTCCTTGACAAAGAAAGAGAAAATGGCAGCAGACACCCCACAAGCTCACCCTCACCCTCTGCACCCTTTCAGCTGCTGAGTCCAAGGTGGCTCAAAGTGCACCTGGCAGAAGTGGTGGCAAATGGCCGCTCACTGAACTGACTCAGGCCTTGCAAGTAAGAAAGCACTGGAGATGCGTGCTGTTTCATCTTTACAGCTCCAGTTTTCATATGCTCAAAGAAGCGTCACAGTTCCTGTCTCTATGAGCCATCAGGTGGATTTTGACTCATAGCGATCCTATAGAACAGAGTAGAACTGCCTCCAAGGTCTCCAAGGCTGGAGTCCTACCAGGAGCAGATCCTTGGGTTTTCCCTTTTATAAAGCAGCTGCTGGGTTCAAACTGTCAACCTTTCCATCATCAGCCTAGCACTTAACCACAATTCTTCTTAGCCAGGTATAATTTAAAGCATTAGAGTTATCTTTGACATCACCAGCAGCTTAGTCAAGCCCTAAACATCTAACACCTGACAAGCGAGTTTAGGGTAGCTGCTCAAAACAATGTTTAAAATGATTTTTTGTTTCTAATTTACACAATTTGGAAAGCTCAATGAAGAGTGTATGTTGATTATGATTGCTATTGTTGTTGTTGTTATGTGCCATCGAGTTGCGACACATAGCGACCCTATGTACAAGAGCTCTAAGTGCTGTTCTATCCTGTGCCAACCTAGCCATCTCAAACGCACTTATTCCCACTGATCCTATGGTGCCCATCTCTACCTTCACTCACTCAAAACTCCCGAGCCCTCAAATTCCTTTTCTATAAAAAAAGGAAGAGACTTTTCATTCCAACAGGAACACTTTAAAAGTATACTTACTATACGTGTGCCTCCTGCTCCCAGCAGCAACAGCTAGTGA